AACGCTTATCGATTGAAGTGGGGATTCTGGCCTCTTTTGAGTCCTTTCCTGTCCTAAAACAAGGAGGTATACACGCACTACAAGCCTCTGGCCTCACTCTGAATTCTCTAACAGAAAGCGGGGAAGGCTACGAAAGCAAGAATGGTCTATTTTACAGTTGTGTGCTTGGTTGCCAAGCCTTTGAACAGGAGTGAGGCTACAGTTGACCTTGTTATGATACAAACCTTGCTCCTTTTTAAATGCATTTACTTTGTCATTATGCTAACTAGGTACTGATCTTTATCGCGACAAGGTCACCTTCAGCCTCACTCCAAATCAAAGGCTTAGCAACCAAGTACACAAGTGTAAAATAACCTATCGATCGTAATACAATAAATGTAATTAAACTAAATCATTTAGAGCTAATATTTTAATTCCCGTAATAAATACAAACTTTTTAAATAATTTTTTTAAGATAATCTTCAGCAAAAATTGCAGTTGGGAAATGTTGCAAAACAGAGAGGGAAATCTCCAACGCACGAAAATCGTGCGTTCTACGTCATCCATGCACTCGTGTCAGCTAATAAGAAGCTATAATTTCCTTCAGCACATGATTTTGTACAGAAGCCACGGATAATATAGCCAGGGAATTTTGAACACGCACAGACACCCCGTCTTACCTCCAACCTTTCACATTTTAATCCCATAATTGGATATCTTTGGTGTAGTCTAAAGAGATATTCTCAATCAAAAAAAATTTCATCAACGGCGTGGGGCTTAGGCTGTTTCCTTAAGTAAGAGAGATTCACTCCCTTATTGGCTGATAAATACCTCAGATGACAACTTTTGCAAGTAATTTCTCAAACGTCTCAACGCATAATACAGAAGTTTGCTTAAAATACCCTTTATACTGTTGATAATCCTCAGACATAATTTACGATAACAAAAAGGTCACATACCTTACCTATCTTGGCAGACTCGTGTCAAATTTTTTCCAAATCAATCAATAAATCTATCTATGCGTACGTGCTTGTCTGGATGGATAGAAGTCACAATCTTCTATGAAGAGATACAAAACGGTTTTTTTAACCCCTTCTCTCCCAAGATTGCTAATTCTCCCTTACAGCTGCTACACATTTCCTAGTTAATAAGTTACGGGAATTTGGTGTTAGATCAAGATAACGACTTTTACGTGATAAAATGAAGTATTCCCATCACCTGTTAGTTGTATAATCTATGGATAACATGGGGAAAAATTACATTTTGATTACTTCGCGAGTTAAAGGGTTAATTCATGATGAATTAATATCAATTCAATGAGCTCAGAAACATATTTTGGTGGCAATAAATAACAAAAAATGAATGGCAAACTCTTTGGGAATTAAGCTAGTAAGTTTCTGAAGAAGCTGTGGTGCTGCGTCGGTGGGAGAGTATAACAGGGTAATTTAGTATTATCAACTGAGTTGAGAACGTAAATTGGCCACCGTAAAGAGTTTAAAAGCTGACGTTTCGATCGCCAACCCTTAGTCAATCGCTCTGACGAAGGGCTAACGCTCGCAAAGTCAGCTTTTAAACTCTTCGAGAACTACGAAAGCTATTAATAGAAACAAAAACGTGAAAAAGAACCCTTGATGTTTCTCCAGTTTAACAGATTTCCCCGACTAAACCCTTCTTATTTCCTTTACTTAAAAAAAATGCCAAGACCATTGATAGCGCAAGAGAAAGTAGGCATCTTGGATAGAGCCTAAGAAATACTGAAGACGGATCATGAACAAACCTTTTAGCCTGCCTCTGGCGATATCATTGTTACTTAAGGAGAACCACACAGTACTGTAATATATTATACAAACCTAGATCACGTGTCTTTCAATCCAGTAGTTCTGCATATCTTTTAAATACTGGCAGTTTTTTTTTTTTTACACCAAAGTGCACAAAGACCGACTGAAAATCATGGTAGGGAAACATGGCTGTTAATCCTGGCTTTAACAGGAAAACAATACCCGCCTCTTCAAAATAATTAATAAACTGATAATTCCGATAAAGGCTTATAAAAACTAGATCACCAGCGGCTAAGTGTTTAATTGTTCCTGATAAGGACCCTTTTTGGCCCAACCCCACATGATAAGAACATGCGAAGAAAGTGCCTGACCTAAGACATAAAAAGATCAAGCGGCCCCATTTCAACTAGCCTAGTGTAGCCGTACCCTCCCCCCCCCCAAAGTAAAAAGGAAGCGAGGGGGGAGGGTAAGGCTACATGAAGGCTACATTTTAACCCTCATTTTCTCAAGTTCGATCTTCGATCGGTAGGGAAAGCGTACTCCGACATCCGTCAGAAGGAGGTCATCTCGGGTAGATTTCCGATTACGAAATCCGAGCTCGCCCGATGTTGTCTTCGTGATGAAGGCCCTATTTAGCATATTAGACCCGCAAAACAGAGTAGAAACGAACATGTGCATCGTTTCCGCTCATGACTTCGTATTAGCGTCAAGATATTTGCATTTTTTTCCGTTGCTTACCTATATTACAGACTCCAAAAAATTGTTGCGATGCCTCCTTTTCACGGATGGCCGATTACAACTACAACATAGTGACACCTCCACGAAATCTGTCAAAGGAGGATGTTAAAACACCAGAGGTCATCTCGGGTAGATTTCAGATGGCGAAATCCGATGTCTTCGTGATGAAGGCCCTATTTCGCATTTTAGAGCCGCAAAATAGAGTAGAAAGGAACACTTACTTCGTTTTCGCTCATGACTTTGTATTAGCGTTAAGATATTTGCATTTTTTTCCGTTGCTAACCTCTATGACAGATTCCACAAAATACATTTGACGCCTCCTTTTCACGGATGGCCGATCACAACTACAACATAATGACATCTTCACGAAATCTATCAAAAGGAGGATTTTAAAACACCGGAAACCTTTGGATTTCTGATGAAATAAATTTAACGCAGTTACGTTCAGAGTTTAATCGATAAATTGTTATTTCTAATATGGTAATTGATAAAAAAATTGTACATTACCTCGATTGGACGGAGATTAAGTTTGAATATAATGTAGCAGGCGATATTACTTTTACCGACAAGGATAATCCGTGACTTGTCTCACTTATTACATTTTCTCTATCTGCGTTGTGCCATGATCATCATTGAAAATATTCAACGATAATATTTTTACAATATTTAGATGAGGATTTTCAATTCTAAACGCAAGAGCATACTTAGGGAAAGATCTACAAGAAACAGTTTCTCATGAATACATTTTAAAAATTCTTTTAGCTGACTTCTACATAGATAAAAATTACTACATAGATATATTTCACTTCGACGATTATCTTAATAAACAATTAACGGGAAGTTCTGAGAATCAGTTTTTTTCAGTTTTGACAGATTTCGTGGAGGTGTTACTATGTTGTAGTTGTAATCGGCCATCCGTGAAAAGGAGGCATCGCAGAAATTTCGTGGAGTCTGTAATAAAGGTAAGCAACGAAAAAAAAAGCAAATATCTTACGGCTAATACGAAGTCATGAGCGAAAACGAAGCACGTGTTCGTTTCTACTCTGTTTTGCGGGTCTTATGTGCTAAATGGGGCCTTCATCACGAAGACAACATCGGGCGAGCTCAGATTTCGTAATCGGAAATCTACCCGAGATGACCTCCTTCTGACGGATGTCGGAGTACGCTTTCCGATCGCTAGAGGAGCGTGGGCTCATTTCCCTAACAGCAACTGGTCAAACTTGCGCGCATGTGCAAACAATTCATGGCCGGGTATCGGCCGGGTGGCGTGTTTCAGTCTGTCAGACCCACGAAGTTTAACAGGACTGATAAAGAACCATTCACGCCGTTTTAAAGCTATATTCAGACGTAATGGCAAATTAATCACAGGGTACTCGCAAATATATATAAATGTATAAGTTCGAAAAGTCTCAAGTTTTCGTTCTCCTTACGTTTTTTTCCCTTTGCAAATTTGCGCGGGAAATTGCCGCGGCAGGCCAAAATTCCTCTAACGCATGCCTGACGCACGACCGACGCGATGGCTGGTTATCAAGCCAAAAGATAATGCATATTTGATCATTTTAAACGAGCTTAAAATATAAATAACAGCATTAACTTGTGTGTGTAGAACAGCTCTCACCTGCGGTTTACAGGGTCAATCTTCTTTCCTCCTTGCCATTCTCAATTGTAAAAGAGTAGTGAAGTAAATTCACTGTAAAAAACACAAACAACAACTTCAAGAAGAACACGCGTAATCGTTTTCGAAATATGATCTTTCCAGTCTGTATTTGAAACCCAAACCATCTTTGATCCGGCAAACTCCCCACCTCCCCCAATGCCATTTTGCCAGCGTGACCCAGAGTGCAATCGCATGACTCGCATGATTATCTGTCACGCAATTTAAGTAGTTAAAAAACTCAGTTTAAATTGCGTCAGGGAATGGAGTGGTTTCGCCTCTATTCTCTTGAAAGCTGGCAATCTAGAATGTTAAAATAAGTAACGTTCATCTAACAGCAGGAAAGAAAATACAGAGGAACACGCCGGCACAGTCGAGCCAGCTTCTTTGATGTACGTTCCAATTTCTTCAAGATTCGGCACGTAACAAAACTGGAAAGAATCAAATCGACTTGAACCTAAGTCAGCTGTAACTGGAAATAATTGATAGAGAAGTTCATCCATTGCCTTTGATTCAAAACTTTTAATCTCGTACCAGATTTCAAGTTTCCAGCGTGCGTTTTGCGATGTCATCTGTTATGTAAATTATATATGGAAATAATGCGTGACAAAAACTAACCTTCCCATTTCGTAGATCCAGGTGAGGATGCCTCTTTTTAAGCACATCAACGTAAAGGTCAACCGCTTTTTCCGAAGTTCTCCGGTGCTTCCAAAGTTTTTATTTCTGGAGATACATATGGTTTGCGTTACTTTCGATTCCGCCATCTTGATTGATTCGCAAGCTCCTCACGGTTCGATCGTTTCAAGAAGACTGGGAATAAACATAAACGAAAATGGCGTAAGACAGTCCACTTTACTTTTACGTAGGAAAAATAATTATTTATAAAATTCAACTGGGGAACTTATGACATAATTTACGGTAACTTAGTTCATTGGTTTTTGATTGATTGCTGCTTTAATCTGAAATTCATTGGGACGTGTTTTAGTCTCAAGTGAAGAGAAATGAGTAAAAATGGCGAAGGTCCTGAAGAAGGTGAATCTTCATCTTCCAATTCCAAGAGAAGCGGATCACCAAGTAAACCTCCAAGACCTCCTCCTCCATTGAACTGCTCGAAATTGCAGCGTCTTTCAAGTATTGAAAAGCATCTAGAAACTCTGCAGCCGTTAAAGGCCGATCGAGTTCGCTGGTTTGTGAAAGAAGACAAGAAATGGATTCCTTTTAATGGCTCTGATTCGTTGGCTATTGAACGACGCTATCGTCAAATCATGGATTTTGAGAGCCGGGTTGAGGACAGCACAAAGCTCCTCAATACTTCTCCGATTTATGAAATGCCAGTTGTCAAAGGAGGCTTGTATGAGGTGGATGTTTTTGCTAGGGAATGTAAACCTATATACTGGAAAGGTAGGTGAAGGTTGTGAAAACAATCGCTAAATCAGCCTCAACCAATAAATGAATAAAAAGAACGTGCTGTGTTGAGGTCTTGATACAACACAATACAATGTATTTCATCATATCTGTCGTTCTTTTCACAATGATAAAACCAAAGCCAGGGAATTTAACGGCCTATAATCAAGAGAGAGAAAAAAAAAAAAATGTTTGCATGGGAGAAAAACAAGAATTTGAAATAAATTGATCTTGAATTGAATTATATTTGTAGTTCATTGATATGAAACAAAGCAACAAGAGACTAACATAGAGCTGATAATGGTAATAAGCACAAAAAAAAATAAGTGAAGTTTGCAGAATGTCATTAATAGAGTTCTTTGCATGGATTATTTAAATTGCACGAGATATTTTTGGTGGTATAGAACAGGGATATTATTATATTGCTGGTGAGATGAAATTTGGTTGAATTACAATTTAATTTCATTGTTCAAATAGATGACAGTCTGCCAGTTTGTCGAGGAACTTGGTTTACTGGGACCTCTTCACTTGATACATGGCAGCCTCTTTGTGAGGATGATAGTGAGCAGATTGAAAAGTCTCACCAGAGTATGCTTAGGGCTATGGTGAGTCAGTCAGTGGCTTTTGCTATTGTTGTTGTTTTCATTGGAGGACAGGGAGCTGTATAATAACACTCTCTAAATTTCAAGGATTACCATGTGGTATCCTCAATACTGAGCTTTTTTTAAATTGTTGAGTGCAATAGAAATTTGGATTACCACTCTACTAATGTGAAAAGAAATAAAACCTGAACCAATTTGAATGGCAAACCATCTATTTAGGGTCAGTAAACCATAATTAATCTATTCAGCTACAAAAAAATTAGGAACTTTTGCAGTTATTAGGGTGTCTCCAGGTAAAGGATGAGGAAACCATTTATTATTTTTGTCTTCAAGGGTTTCCAAGTAGAAATAAACGACAATGATAAAGCAGCTCCTGAAAGGCAAGGTGAGCTTACTCTTAAAAATATTGTATACAGTGATCCAGCATGAAAATCAACACAACACAGTCAACTGTCCCATCAGATTGTTAAAAGAAATTAATTGATAAGCGATAAAAAGTCCTTGAGGGAACAAAATACAGAGTTTTACAAGAGCTTTGCTATGCACATGTTTTGAATAAAGTTATTGTGTTAAATATACATTTAAAACAAAATTAGTGTATACATTGATCATGCATAAACATATGCCTTTTGTCAGAGACACTTAACTGGGGAAATGACTTTTAGAGCTTACTGGTTCAACCACAGCTCATTTTCATTTTGCTTCTCTGCCTTATTGTTTGACTAGATGTATGTTTGTTTGGTTTCTTTAAAACTACAGTACTCAGCCGACTCAACTTGGAAAATTGTCATGTGGAATGGAATGAAATTGGTGATGTGTGGTTGTATTGGGATGATGTCAAATCCAGAATAATTAGAAATGTTGGTGAAAGGATTGGATTCTCATCAGGTAAAGAAACAAAAAATATTACCAAGAATGGAGTACAATCCTATTTAAGGGGGAAGTGGTCATACTTGTTGTGATGCTATAAAAAGAACAAAGGACCCAGCTGGTCTGCCACATGTACATGTGGCCTGCTTATTTCACCTCATTTGACCATGATTTCCAATGAAAAATTTTACAATTATTGAAGAAATTTGTGTAGCAGCCATTCACAAGTTTTTTAGTTGAGGTGAAGTCTTAATTCATGTGTAAGTAACCAGCTTAGATGCATGAATGGATTCTATGCCCAGGATTTGCTCAAAGATTCACATGAAAATCATGGAATAACTTGGGGATTTTAAATGAAAGGTTCCTTGTCTTGCACATTATCTAATGAAACAAAACAGTGTCCATTATAAAGGGGGTCAGTTTCTAAGCAAACTGTGGTGCTGCGGCAGTGAGAGAGTACAACAGGGTGATGTTCAAAGTATCATCAACTGGGTTGATAATGTAAATTAACCACCATAATGAGTTGAAAAGCTGACATTTTGAGCATTAGCCCTTTGTTAGTGTCCATGATAACCTGGCCGATTACTCTGTTATATATGCCAAGTGTAATTTTGAAGTGATTGATAGCCTTGCTTTTATAGAGTAATTTCATGCCCTGAATACGAGGTTTCATGTCATGTTCATACAACTGTACATGCACAAAGTAATGTGAAAGATGCAATGGATCTACAGCTGCCCCACTAAATAGGAGGTTCAACTTCTGGAAGGGTCAAAAGGAGGGTGGAGTGAGTAGGAGGGGGGAGGGGTGGGTAGGAGAAGGGTGGGGTGGGGTGGGGTCATTGTGGGAAAGACACCAAACTTTGACTGAAAACCTGTCATTACCAGAAGTTCAAATAATTACCAACAAGCGTAACAAGGAAGCCTGAAAAAAAGCCAGAGAAGGAGGTAATCTAAAATGGATCAGCATCCTAAAGAGGAGGAGTTCTAAGCAATGGATGCTGAGTAAATGGATGTTTACTTTATTGCATCAGGTGCTGCAGCACAGATTCACCGTGGATACCACACAAATGCTGACCCTGCTGACAAACCTCCTGACATATCTCATTTGATTTTTGTGGTTCATGGAATTGGACAATTAATGCGCATGGGCAATATTGTCAAGAGCTGTGTTAGCCTTCAACAGTGTGCTGTAACAGTTTTAGAGAAACATTTTACGGATAATCCACCTAATCAGCGAGTGGAGTTCATTCCAGTGGAATGGAGATCATCACTTAAACTAGATGAAGGTAAAAAAAATTCACCTCCCCAGAGGTCAGTGATGGTGAGAGATGTGTTCTTCTAACAGTTAACATTAAAGTCCTTAGATCTGGTTTTAAATTCTCCCCTCTAGCTGCTACACATTTCCTGGTAAGTTAGTTGTAAGAATTTAGTGTTTAATCAAGTTACAACTTTAACCTGATAAGTTTGAGTATTCTAATTAGCTGTTTGCAGGACAATATGTGGATATTTTCTCTTTCCACCCAGTGAAATGAAATAGGGGCAGTGAAATGAAATGAAATGAAATGTGATGGGGGCAGGAAGGAGGTCGGTTTGGTCTGGCACACCAGTAAGTTCTTATTAGCTTAGTGGTAGAGCATTGGGCCACAGGAGCAAAGATGTGAGGTTCAAATGGTCATTTGGAACAGAGATATTTCTTTGTCTCATGCTCTGGTGTAATTTCCACTTCCATCAAGGTACAATTGAGAGCATAACACCTGCTTCAATATCAGGACTCAGGAAGATTCTTAACACCAGTATGATGGACATCATGTATTACACAAGTCCATTTTACAGATATGAGGTAAGGGGCACCTTACCTGTGAGCCCTTTGATCCCCAACGGTTAATAGAATCTAAATTATCTTTACAATAATACCCCTAAATCACAATTTGAGGTCAAGAGGAAAAAGGAAATGATTGCAAACTAAAGAAACTCTCAGTGGTCTTGACAACAAATTCTCCTTCACAGCACTTTAGGAAATGTGTAAAAAATTATATGGAGAATATGCATTCTGATGTCAGAGTGTAAAAGGTTAACTCTTAAGAGTGACTAGCAGGTAATTTCTCCTCATAGTTTCACTTTACAATCAAATGTAAAGGTTACAAGAAAAAAGGAAATGATTCCACAGTCCCTCTCTCCACACAGGATCACCAATGAGTGCATGCAAAAATTGCAATTGGTCAATGGTTTGAAAAAATGTCAATCAGCAATCAGTAGGTTTTTTTCCAGAACACACTGTTTAACAGATTAGAACCTTGAATGAGAAGATGTGAATGACGTGACTCCAATTTGATTTTGTATTCTGTTTCAGATCATTGACAGTGTAAGAGATGAAATGAACCGTTTGTACACCAAATTCTGCTCCAGGAATCCTTCATTTGTGGAAAGAAACGGCAAAATTTCGATAGTAGCCCACTCGTTGGGGAGTGTGATTGCGTACGATATCTTAACACTTTGGGACATCGAAACAAGACATCTTTCTCCAGATTCCACAGAAAGCACTGGCTTTCTTACAGAAAGCCTGCAGTACTTGCGGTCAATAACCAGCATGACGAGTAATGAGAAGAAGGAGTCTGGGCCCGAGGGTAAGAGGAAAGAGAATTTACGAGTTGAACTCGCTAAAGCTCGGAGCGAAGTGATGAGGCTTGAGGCTATGATGACAAGTGAGGTGGAACACGAGAAACAAGAAGCTGAAAAAAGCTCAGGCGAATGCCCTTTAGCGCTACGGTTCAAGGTAAGTTACCAGGCCTAGTCTCGCACCGAGACCTTTCACGGCCAAGCGGTTCAGTCACACGATGGGATCTGGGCACACGATTAGACGTGGGCGTGAAGAATTTCAGGGGATCACATGGTTTTTAGGTAGAACAGAGGGTGGATCAGTAGTCGTCAACAGAGTATAAAGGGGGAAAAACGAAAATTGACTGCGAATTAGGTGCCAATTAGGGGGAATCATATTATTGATACAAAACCTGATAGGGAGGGATCAGATAAATTTTTTTGTGACGCAAAGCTGAATTTAAGCAAGTTTCCCACCCAGTTTGTGTTCTTTTAGGTTGAAAACTTATTCTGTGTGGGATCGCCGCTGGCAGTGTTCTTGACGCTACGAGGGCTCAGACCGCAAGACGACGTAGAAGATCACGTGCTACCAAAGTCAGTTTGCAAACGTGTGCTGAATATTTATCATCCAGCTGACCCTGTGGTGAGAAATTACATTATATAAAGATATATTTAAAGTTGTTATAGCTTGAAGTCAGTGGTTGAAACCGTATTGTGTGACAATTTGATTGAAAGCAATGAATACTTTCATGTGATACTGTTTATTGTGCTGCACAAGGTGGGTCTAACTTTTAACGCTAGAGATGAGACCGTAACGTTTGACCATTCGAATGAAAGCTACTGAGCAGTACTTTCATAAGGTATTGATTACTAGGATTTACCGGGTGGTTCCAACTTTTACTGCTTTTATAAATTTTTAATCTGGGACGGTCCTCAAGCTTCCTTTATATATTTTCATGCAGCTAGTGTCTGATGTTTTCTTTCCTTTGTTGTTGTTTTTTTTTTCAGTCATTGTGAATTTATTCACGGGAAAGTAGAACCCAATTAAATTTGCGAAGCTCCCAAGATGCGGCTTCGTGGCTCATTCGGGTGGTAGAGTTCGCATCTCGTCAAAGTCTGAGTTTTTTTTCTAGGCTTTTCTTCTGCAAACAGCTTGTCTTGCCTTTCTTTGCTTTTCTAATTATTAATTACCATAAGAATCAATTTTTTTTATGTATAAACAGGCTTACCGCTTAGAGCCTCTGTTAAGTTCAGACTACAGCAGCATTCCTCCGGTACAACTACACCGCTACGACAGCAAACAGACAGGCTACACTGAAACCAAACCAGCTGGCAAGTCTGCCAAGTGGGGAGCCCTTTTTGCGGTATATCGAGCTGGTTTTTCCAAACAGAAAACAGACGATGAAGCCAGTGATCGATCAAATAGCCCAAACAGTGAAGCGGAAAGTACAGATGAAGAACTCGTGGTTGTGCACAATTCTGCATCTGGGGAAAGCGTTGAAGGTAGGAACTGGTGAAGAAGAATTTAGGTTCCAAAGGGTTTCGTTTTAAATGGAATGAAGGTGTGTTTTTTCTGCAAAACCTAATAAAGTTGCTCAGCGCGCTGCATGAGGTTTACATGTCGAGAATTCTCCTTAACGTTATTGGGAGCTTTTGTGAGTGCCTTAGCAACTAGTACCTCAGCTCTAACCAATTCTGTTTGACTAATTTACAAGCTGAATAAATTGCCTTTTAGCGTCTTGGTGTTTCCTTTTAAACACATCTTTCCTCATAATTTCACCCTGCATTAGCGAACGATGTAAACGACGAAGGAGCTACATGCAGTATCACCGACGGTGGCTCATCGGCTTCTTCCAAGCGGACGGGTTGGATTGCGAGTATCTTTGGTTCTTCTAAACCCCTCACGGCAGGTAACTCCGGCCAGGAGTTGGAAGAAACTTCAGAAACAGATGGGGGTGTCAAAAAGAAATCTGAAAAAACGAAAAAAGAAGAACACCTCTCAGTGCCTTCGAAAGGTAAGTAATAAATAAAAATGCGATTAAATAAATCAGTGGAATTAAACACTGGCTCTTCGTTTACCGTTTTCTGGTCAAACTTGAATTTGGAGTCTTTGCCTTTTTTTCAAGGGGGGGGGGGGAGGAATGGGGGGGTAGTAGTGGGAGAAGACACTGATATCCAGGAACGGGAACGGTACACTTTAACAGCGCAGGGACCCCAAAAACGGTACACTTAAGCCGCGCAGGGATCCAAAACCTCCCTCTTTTTATCGTTCCACGCCATTACTGTGCCCCGTTCACCACGCCATCAACACGAATACGTTTTCGTTTGAAAATGCATAATTTGTGAAGCGTTCTAACCCGTAAACGCTGATGAGACTTAACGGTTAAAAAGTGAATGCGTCTTCAGAATGCTGTGATTCCTCTGTGGACAAGTGAAAACGGAGGCTTTTTAAAACAACAGCAAAAAAATGCGCCACGCACTGTTGCTTTCGTCCGTGTTTTGGGTGTTACAGTGAGAACGATAGTCGAAAACGCACTAAAGTGTATGCGCTCTCTCGTAATTTCGCCAAGTTTCGATATCTTTTGCCAACACAATCATCTTGTCCTCCTTATCACTTTCAGTTTTGAAGGAACGACTCGACTACACTCTACGGGAGGGATACATGGAAACTAAATACTTGTCAGCGGTCACGTCTCATACATCGTACTGGTATTCATGTGATGTGGCACGGTGCATCCTTGAGAATTGCCTGGATCCAGGACAAAATTTGGACCAGTCTTAAGAACGTGTGAGATGGTTGGATAAATTATTACATTAACAACGCAAGTGCCTGGGATCTGCGGTAATTAATTTCGGGTGGTTAACCAGGAAAAAGGGTTTATTATACTATTTCTGAAAAATAGTCCAAGTAACCAGAGACAAGGGAATGTTTTGTCAAATTTTATTCATCATTGGTTAGTTACGCATGTAAAAGTACTTAAGAGGCATTATTTTTATTTACCTGTCAGTGTGACTTGAAAATTTTATAACTCGAGGTGATCTAGAGTTGAGTAGCCCTGCCTTTACTGCAGTTTAACCCTTGAATTCCCATCAGTGACCAAGATAGAATTTCTCCTTACATTATCAATACAATATCAAGCAGAAAAGTAATGAGAACAAAGAGAAATATCAATTAGGGGATTACTACTCAATCTAATACCAAAATCTCCCAACTAATATGAAAATTGTTTGGCAGACAGTTAGGAGAATTACTAATAAGATCTTGGGAGTGAAAGGGTTTTAAAAAAAGCTGGAATAGGTGCTCTAGGAATATTATTTTGCGAAAATTATGTCATAGGCTCACATAAAACTTCTTCCGGGAAAATGGCATTACGATAATGCAGTATGGGAGAAGTGAAGAATGTTTTGAGATACTTTTTATGATAAATTGTAGGAGACGTAGCACTGACGAAGTGAGGCCTTGACAACGGCGCGCGCACAAGCCTGAGAACGCCGTTGTGTTATAAACACGGTGTAAAAACGTGTAAACTACGTCGCGAAAGATTCGGGCGTTTGTCGCGGCCTCATTCCACAATTTTTCCCCCCTAAATTTGCCATGGACAATACAAACTTGTCGGGATGTAAAAGACTGATTGAAGAGCCAACATCGACTAGTTTGTATGATTAACATGCAACTTCTTGCAGCTGATGAGAGCCGACAAAATTATCACTTGGATGAAACTCTAAATTCTCTTAACTAATTTACAAGAAATATTGAGCTTCTGGTAGTGAGAGTCGCCAATTAGATCTGGAAGATTAAGAATTTTAACGAAATTAATTGCGCGCTCCTGTTCTGGAACGTAAGTCTGAGATTTGTGGGATTAATGTTAGCAGCCCTCATGCGCAAGATTTGATAGAAATTGCCTATAGCAGATTCGGTTGCGATTAAGAAGGATTTCCCCTTCACTAGGTATTAAAACTATTTTGAATACATTCTAAATCTTAGATTTTAAAATCTTTAAAACAAATAAATAGTTTATCTTGTTATTTCGTGTAAATATGCGACAAGCATTTTGTGTACTAATGTAAAAAACTGGCTAGTATTTTAACGCATTGTGTTGCACTGAAAAATGTCAAGAATGGTTCAATAAATATATGGTAAAATTGTACACTATGTTCTTTTGCATATTTAAATTGAATCTCCTGTAGCGAACCTTCTCGTTCCTAAGTCGATTTTCCACTTGAGCGGAAATATGGAGACCTGGCACGAGATTTGGTAAGGAAGATGACGTTATGGTTTGACATTGTTAGGAGTCGAGGCTCGCTTGATACCAGTCCACACCCGCTGTTTCTTGTAGGTTACGTTAGCAATTTGGCGTCGCCCGTTGGTTACGATGTCTTGAACAATGCATAACCATAAAGTGTACTGATTTGTGCTTTGATGAAGTCTTTAAAGCGTTTTTTGTGGCGCCATTTTTCTTCAGCGCTAAATACATCAGCCTTTTCGTTTTTCTGTAAGTTCTTTCAGACCAAAATACAAAAAAGTCATTGGGAAGGAGTTCCTGGACGAACATTGTATCCAATTTGTGACTTTTCTGATGATGGAAAGTAACAACGTCAGCGTTAACATTGGAAAATTTGATTCTAATGTCTGCGTATACCCCTTGGGCAGTTGAGTCGTTGATTCGCTGGACTCAGAAGGAGGTCTGGGCCCAAGACCTAACCGTGACATTGTACTGTGTCCTTGGCAAAGACATTTCATTTTCACTTACAAGGAGGCAAACGGCTGCGGGAACAGCCTCGTGACCAGGGCCTTTCCGCCCTCTCCAACTTTTCAAGGGAAAAGCCTCGGAAACGAGGTTACGCTTCGACAATAAAAAATAATTTATGCCCTTACCCTGGTAGTATAAACTTTTCCAGCTTTATTGATAGCCACATACAACCCTGATTCAATATGTTTTATTCTTATTAGGCTTGTTCCACAAGACTGAAGCTCAAACAGACCTGAAACAATAAAAAATGGGGTACATCAGCTGCCGGAGAGCGATCAGGAGATCTGGAATTTTAGCAGGTAAAATTATATTTCTAACATAGTGCGCGCGTCTCTCCCATTCTTTCATATCCAACCATCATATCTCTAAAAACGCACGGCCGTTCAAGAATCGAAGAAGCTAGAAGAAGTACTTCGAGCAACTCTTGCGCTTCTTGCCTACTTCCCAAACTTCTCGCGTGCATCCGTATCTCGAGATAAGCACGCTAAGCTTGGACTAGCCTGTTCATAATCTCATACCCAGCTCCCACCGTATAACTGTAACTGAAATGTACAACCACTTGGCCGTGGAAGGTCAAGGTACAAGATTTGCCTGCTCTAGGTGTTCAGTTATATTAGATGAAAAGTATAAAACAGAGCGATGTTAAAAGCAGAGCGAAAACTAGGGAAGTTCACTATCCAACCCGACCTAAGCCCTCCTTGCTGTTACTCTCCACGGCCGTTTCCTATCGCGCTTGATTTTACTAAGCATGGAACAATTCTTAACCAACACAAATATCGAAAATTTTAACTCACGCGATCAGAGATCATGTTTGTTTACTAAAAACCAAAATAGGATTTTATTTGATGGGGCTCATTTCCCCCGGGGGTGGTTTTCATCTCCAATATGTGAATAATTATTTTATCATTTTACGCCAACAATGATTATCGTGACTTTGCCTGAAAACCAAAATAGTATCCTCTGTAAAGGTGGTCATCTTTCCCAGGGGGGTTTTTCCCTTCTATTATAAACAATTATGTTAACGTTTCACACCGACATTAATTATCGTGACGTCACTTGAAAACCATTCACAGCTGTTAATCCCTCAAGGACCAATTTAGTCTGTTGATATTTATACAATAACAATCAAGAACATGAATATGTATTTCCTTCGGAACAGTCATGCATTCCTTGGTAAAAATTCTCTGACAGCGTGAACGTCGTGAAGTGAAGCTGTATTTAAGATGTCTATAGTCGTATTTGTACTTACATCTGTTTGTCAGCTGACAATAAGTGTCATTCACCCCCTGCAGTGTTCCATTTGACAAAACCGCCAGATGAAATCTCAGTTTACTCCAGAGTCGAGCTAGTCTCTTGTGAGTGGGAGCTGCATTTCCGTCGCAGCTTCCTCTTGGATTGAAATACGTTGGTACTTTGTATCTCCTCGGTTGCAAGCCGCTTCCACGCAGTTTTATTCTTGAACTTACGCATGATAATCTTGTTGTTATAACAAACACGGTAATAGATAGAAATAGCTGGCGACCAAACAACATATTAAAGTTAGAAATGACCCTAATGGAGACTTAACTGTTAATACAAACAGTCTCTCAGGTCCATCAATTTATATATCACAGTATTGGACTGGGAAAATTTTTATGCGATCGTGGTAATATCTTAAAATTGTCACAGTTGCATAACATAGGTCACGTTTAGTACAGCGTGTGAATTTTTAGCCTACATTCACTTTATATATTTTCTTTATTTGCAATCCGTTGTGATGTGCCTCCTCCCTGGTTCTATATTTCTTTGTTTTGGTCTTTTTGATGTGTTTTTGTATACCCTAACAACCGTTCCCTTCGGGGTTCTACTTTAGATCAAGTCAATTCACTATGACGCAGAGCTAGTCCGAAAATATCGTGAAGTAATTTAGGCTGGCGTCACGTTGAATGTTCGCTGCCTGTCTTTGGATTGCATTTAAAAAATAAAGCAACTTTACGCATTCGCTTAAGAATGTAATTTTATATTGTGATTTCTTATCTTTTTGTTTGCAGATCTCTAAGTTTCCTAGAAAAGAAAACGAAATCAGTGACAATTTTTTTTCTCTCTTGGGTATTTCGTTAAAATCTAAAATATTAGAACACGTAATTTGTCATCCCTAATAGGAACGCGAAAAAAGAGTCGACGTCAGATTTCTAATTTTACCACAATTAAACGACAATAGCATTGTCTAGTACCTATATTTTAACCATTTAACCAAGATTTCAGTGCACTATTAGCGTCATACTATGGTCTTCACGTGTTCAGCTGTCAAACTAATTTGCACGTGCGAACTTAGTACCCTTAAAGCCACCGCGTCATTTTAAATTTCCCTAAGAGATAGCACTTCAGTTGACTGATCACGGAAAAAATGAAGCTAGACAAATAAAAGATGAAAAAAAAAAAAACGCGTTAGGCGGGTACAAAAGTTAAACTACGAATCCAAAGTTCTAACCACGGATCAAAAGTTGTACCTACGAATCCAAAGTTATAATTACGGGTCCAAAGTTATTGCTACAAATCCAAAATTATTGATAAATACCATCATGGGATCCGCCGTCATTCCTTTGAATGCGTCTGAGAGGCTCTTAATGAGGTTAACCATTAGCCGTAAACCGTCAAAAAAAGTTAAGCCGTAAGGAGGCGTAAAAATTGACAAATATGTAATATTATTCTTTTAAAAAAAAAGTTCACCTTGAAAGGTAAAATTTTTTCTTTTAACCGCCATGGAAAAAAAATTAACGGTCAAAATTTTAATCGTTGGCGGTAAATGTCATCACCCCCTTCCAGACTACCGTAGAAAATAACAAATTTTTACGTCAATATCCACTTTTTTCATTAGTTTTGAGTGCCACTTAGAAGTCACAGTAAGCGACATTGTTGAAGTCAGAATCGGCCGATATCTTATCATTCGCAAGAAAAGATGAAACAAAAACTATTATTATTATTTTGCAATCAGTAGCTGCTATACTACACAACTACAAACTGTTTTTTCGACGTGGCTACAGTGTGACTCAACTTAAAGGTTTTGAAGAAAAAAAATTTACGCAAACAAGTTTTCAGTTGAGATTATTAAGTATCAGTTAAGTTCTTGCGATATTGCGGCGTTTACAATCACATTTTTGAAGCAGTATTCGAAAGCAGTGTTCTTTGCAAAAGTAGTTTCAAGCTTACCAAATATACAAAAGAAATGATTTGGCAATTTTAGGGTTTAGTGAAAGATTTCGCTTCTTTAAAAAATGCCAACTCTCACTATTGATTAATTCAAATAGAAATTTGAAACAAAATTGAGATATTTCACAGATTCTTCACCGAAAGATTTGGTGTCTTACTTAACACGAGTCTGGACTAAGACGAAACTAGCATGATTTTAGGTAAATCCGCGAATATTTGTTTTCATGGTACACGTGGCGTGGTATTTGAAACAAACTTAAATACGACCGTTAGCATGTCAGTGAAGTTGTTGCATCTAATATACCAGCGAAATATAGATTGTTACAATAATACTGGATTTGTTTTACTCATTCTGCTTCCCCTTAAGTTTTTGACCCTCGTCTGCAAAAAGCAATGTTTAGCCTTTACTAATATTATACTTATGTTGCAATTTTCGATCTTCAAAGCGAAGACATTTTTTTCAACAGACAGTAATTATAAGTTAATTGAACTATGAACTAAGTGCACTTCAACACAACAGTCTCAGTAAACTTGAATATCGCGTTAAAAATTATTTTTACAAACACTTACCATTCTAAACTCCATTTGACTGAGAGAGCTCTTCTCGCTTTTGCTTGTTCACCTTTAAGCTTCTCCAGAAAAACTGCAGTTTTCCTGTCGCCCCCAGACTGATATAAAGCCTTCCATTACCTCACAGGGCGTGTTACCTCACTTTTGTTTTGACGCTGTATGAAATAAAAGAAAACATTTCAGAAATTTCGTTTCTATATTATGCATAATTCGGATACTTTCTGCGTAGAAGCTTTATTTAAACGTGTTTTTGCGGTGTCGTGTTTTTTAAAAACCGTTAAGAACACTCGAATATTTCTTTTTGCCGCAAATCGCAAATCGACTGTGCTTTTGTGCGTTTAAAGGCGAGCCGTGTCTGAGAGATAAAAGGCTTTTTGTTTATGTTCGACTTGAAATTTCACGGTCTACAGAGCACACTGACTAAAATGGTTAGAACAATGTTTACTTCCAAATACCGCGCTGTTTACTTCTAACTATGCCGCATATACTGCCGGTAGTAAAATGTACTTTAGTGATTTCTAGAAATGATTCTGTGCATATTGCTTAATAATCTCGCTGCTAAAACCGCATATTGGGCTTCGATACATAACCGAAAAGTAAGCAAGTACGTTGGATAATTAATTACGGCCATTATTCCTCCATTATCGTTGATCGTCAATAGATAAATAAACACCTAGCTTTGACTCACTTCCTCTGTCAATTTAAGAGCATTCTTCTAACATTACCAAGTTTCTTCGGTGCACTCAGCGGTATGATATTTCCTGTATACCTGAGTTCGTTCAAATGCTTCGTAAAAGAGAACTGCTAAAACATTCCATGACAGATCGATTAGTAGCGTTCAATTTAAGTGCGTTGCCGGCAAGCTTTTGAATGACCGCATATTGCGTTTCGCCTGCGCATTTCCAACAGAGAAAATGTTCTACAAGTGATACAAACGCGTCAATAACTGTCAGCCGGAAGAGTTTGATAATGGTCTTCGTCTTCATTGTTGATATTAGCGGATTATACAGTACTTTTCCTTCTGAAAACGCCGACTGTTTGAAGTTCTTGAATAGCTTGCCGTCTTTTTATGGAACTAAAACTCCATGATCGGTTTTAGCAAAGTGGTAATTTCGCAGTCTTTGCTATTGTACAAGTGCCTCTGTTGTCGGTCTTTCCGAAAAGCGGAGTGTCTTTGAGCATTTTAATAACGATATTGTACACCCATATTCCCTTCAACGAATACCATGAAATGTCAAAGCAAACAAAATTGTACAAAGTAAATCTTTTAAAGTCCAGGAATCTCGACAAGTATGTTTTCAGACGGATACCAAATTTGTGGAAACAAAATGAAAATAAATTAAAGCCAATTTATTACAATTACACTGAATTGCTGGTCTTTCTATCACAGAAAACAAAACGACAAAGATCGATATTAACACAACATAATATGACCTAGGGTCACTAGATGTTCAATGCTTTGTACTTAATTGCTTGTTGAGTTTTAGGGAAAAGGCATTTTAAATTCTATAACCGTTCTCTCAAGAATACCTAAGAAGCACGAGAGAGAAACTTAGTTTCGAAACTATCTCATCAAATTTTAAGTGGTACTTGACTAATGGGCTAAGAAAGATAACTTTCGGTAAAATACGTATCTGGAGAGCCGGAAATTCTCTTTCAAACCTAATCCACTTCAAAATACTTTGTTATTTATAAAACCGCGGTGTCTGAATCAAAATTGTGTTACAATATACGGGCTTGTACATTTCTGGTTTGCACGTAAGCACGAAAGATGAAATCTGGAACAGCAGGAGTTTATTTCAGAAACTAACTTTGCAGAACTTATGTCATGATTAAAGGTTCTTGCAAAGTTGCCGATCAGAAGTTAGCTATGCATGCGTGACTCGTCAATCTTTCCAAAGAGATTGCGTGACACTTGGCAAATATATCTCTTTTAGACATTTGCGCTGCAGACTTAAATGCCCACAAAAATGCTTCTTCACGCAGAAATAAATGAGTACTACGGTTTTGCTTGCCTGATAGCATTTTTTCAAGACTGAGAAGGAAATAGTTCTGTAATGACTTGGCGACCTCGGCAAGTTTGTGGCTTGCCGTCTGATCCGAAAACCTTGTGCCCGGAAACAGCAAACCTCAGTGTAAAATTCACCAGCACTCGTATCTAAAGTAAAATTATCGTCAAAGAAAATTTTTTCATAAGAACATTTTCGGGCTAAACGAAAATTCCTCTAATGACTACATAAAGCCATCCTGGGTGGTCCGATCTTGTAAAATCAATATTTGATATTTGATCATAATTTTTGTTTTTCAGAGTAGTATCTCAGATCAGTAGATCCAGAAGTTTCCACGTATCTTTTGTTCATTTCATCTTGACCTTTATTCTGGTATTAAATTGGGCACAAGTTTCTCGTTATATCGAATTATTTTGTGATTTTTTTCATTTTTAAATTTGTAAAAAGAATTTTCGCGAGTCAATCTAGGGCTTTGGTGTGAAAACATGGCTAACGCAGTGTTTATTACTGCCATTATAGAAATGTGTTTTAAGTAATTGTATAAATGAACAATTAGATGAAAATAGAACAATTGAAGTAGAAAAACTAATAGATACATAAATCGGTAATTAGTGTAGTCTTTCAGAAAATAAACTTGCAAACAATTGAATGGTTTCTATAAAACTTTGTACTGCAGAGATAAATACCATAACACCCGATCCTAAGATTCTACCCTTACACTGCTACAAAACTGTGGGAATTTTATAAGATGAAATAGGAAACAT